ATATATACCCTGATTCATCAGAGGCTATATTTTTATTTAAAGTAATTGTCATAAATGTGATTTAGAGTTTATTCGACATGTATGAGTCAAGATCACGTGATCTTCATAAGGAGAAATTGGATTGACAAAAACAAACTTCACAATATAATTCTTTATTTTATCTATTTATTATTTTATAATTTCAAAGAGATCGTTTTGTTTATTTAAACTTTCTCTTTTGTTCTTTTCAGTCTCAGAAAAAAACAGTTAACTCAATGAACCCCCCTGGTTCTGCGCCTCTCATTAAGGTCTCCATCAAGACGTCCAGCCGTGCGTAAAAGTTGCGAACTTCGCGGTTAAATCTAATATCCAAGCCTTTAGCGCCCACTCCACAGGCTACCGAGCCAAACAAGGGTCGTAGGCTGGGGGTGAGCTGAACTTTTTTACACCTTTGTGGTAGTGGGCACTCCCTCCACGCGCTGATTGGCTGCCGGGGAGTTTAAAGCGCACAGACAGTCACGCTCATTGCTGACTTGCCTCTCTACCTTTCCAGTTTCTGCTGCACGTGAAAGAAGCACATGGATAGGACTTTTTCTTTCAAACTTTAAATCCACATATTTTTTTTATTTTTTATATATTAGTATTGTTTTTTCTCCCAGGTTGTGTTCGCTTGTATCGTTTCTGGTGAGCTGTCCGGTTCTTCTCAAACGCCTCCTCCTCCTCCTCGCAGCAGCTGGACAGAAATGAGTAGTCCCGATGCGGGTTACGCCAGCGACGATCAGACCCAGGCAAGGTGTGCGATGTCAGTCATGATGCCTGGAATGGGACACTGCCAGTGGGCCGACCCTCTCAGTCCTCTCGGGGACGCCAAGGTGAAGAACGAGCCGTGCGCCTCCGGCTCCGGCAGCCAGAGCCGCGGGAAGAGCGAGCCGCGGATCCGGCGGCCCATGAACGCGTTCATGGTGTGGGCCAAGGATGAGCGCAAGAGGCTGGCGCAGCAAAACCCGGACCTGCACAACGCAGAGCTGAGCAAAATGCTGGGTAAGTCTGTAGATTTATTCCTTGCCTTTATCTGTGTTTTTATAAMTTTATTTCTTTTTTAAACTTTAGAATATTGACTGCAGGGTGATTTTTAATACTTTTGCTATTAAGATAAAAAAAAAGAGTCCTGTATCTGGCCACAACAGGTTGTTTGTGTGAGCAGTAGCTGCTGACATGGAACTGATGTGTTCTCTCTTCTTGACCCACAGGGAAATCATGGAAAGCCCTTCCTGTCCCAGAGAAGCAGCCCTTCGTGGAGGAAGCTGAGCGCCTGCGGGTCCAACACATGCAGGACCACCCAAACTATAAGTACCGGCCCCGGCGGCGGAAGCAGGTGAAGAGGATTAAGAGGCTGGACTCCGGCTTTCTGGTCCACAGCGTGCCCGATCACCAGAGCCAGGCGATGCCCGGGGAAGGCCGAGTGTGCATGGAGAGCCTGGGCCTCGGCTACCACGAGCACGGTGGCTTCCAGGTTCCTCCGCAGCCYCTGGGTCACTACAGAGACCCCCAGGCTCTTGGGGGTCCCTCTTATGAAGCCTACAGCCTCCCCACGCCCGACACGTCTCCTCTGGACGCTGTCGATTCAGACTTCTTTTCACCGCACCCTCAAGAGGACTGCCCCATGATGCCTGCGTACACGTACCACTCTCAGGTGGCAGATTTTCAGCCTCAGGAGCCCCTCGCCAACCACCACAGTAACCCCCTCATGCACCGACACCCGGCCTCTGCACCAGAGCAGCCCCATCAGCCTCCCTCCTACATGGGATGCCCCAACACTTTGGCCGTGTACTACACCCAGCACTGCGGCTCCAGCCACCCCAAGCGGCACCCCGGTGGGATGGGACAGCTCTCCCCGCCTCCCGACCCCCACTCCCACTCAGCAGACAGCATGGAGCAGATGCACCACTCCGAGCTGCTGGCCGAGGTGGACCGCAGCGAGTTCGAGCAGTACCTGAGCTCGTCCTCGGCGCGTCCAGAGATGGCAGGTCTGGCGTACGGGCCGCACGAGGCCGGCATGCAAGGACCTGAGAGCCTCATATCGTCCGTGCTGTCAGACGCCAGCACAGCCGTGTACTACTGCAACTACAGCAACTCCTAACCCCCCGCTGCGAAGGACACTCGCCCTACACTCAAATCTCTAAAGACAAATTTGAAGAAACATGATTCGTTTTTTTCCACTCCTGGCACAGAAAGCTTCTGGGACTTTCAAAATGCAGCTTCGAAGAAAACTTTGTACTGTACCTGTGCAGTTAAGAAGCCATATTTAAAAATAAAATTTAAAACTGTTTTTAACCTTTCTTCTTTTGCAGGGACATGAGTTCATTTTGTGATAAGAAATATTGTACAGTCACTATTTTAAAGTTTATGTATATACTGAATATTTTTTTTATACTTTTGCACTTCTGAGAAATAAATGTTTGCAAAACGACCCTTCCTCTTTGGTGTTTTCTTGCTTTTTAAAARCATTCGTGACCAAGTTTTTTGTGAAACTTTAATAAAGTGGGGAAATTGTCTAACTTAGATTAGAGTTCGGTCAGCTGTGTGTGCGCTGGGTTTGTTTTTCCTCGCAGCAGTAGCAGCAGTTGCTCACCTGGAAGCAGGGCAACGGAGGCCAGCGACCCGGCTTCCTGGCCCAGACAAAGTGGAGGTGAGCTCAGTGTTTGTGGGACACAAGGCGCCTTGTTTTCTCAGCATGGAGGGCCGCTTATGCTCCGGACATCCTGTCTGTAAATGATTTTAGTCTCTTCTGATTAATGCAAGGAGGGGGGTCATTGAAATTCAACTACACCCTCACTGATTCAACCTTTATTCCTCAACAGAGCACAACTTCTGTGTCAATTCCTGTGTTGTGCCTGTTAACATAGCAGTGACATCAGGATTTATTTCTGTAGGTGCACTGATATATTTATCCACTGAAGCCTGCATGTTGCTTTGACATCAATCAAACTTATCAGGCAAAAATCTTTAAGCGATTAGACTGAACCTTGAGGACGATTCAGAGTATTTATAACTCGACGAGAGACCCGCTTTATAAATAGAGATTTTCCCTATTTCAAAAGGAAGAGGTTCTTCTCTGAGGGGGTCAATCACCCTGACCTCACGATCCATTTTTAGCACTTCAGAGGAAACATGTTCCAGAGGTGTGTATATATTCCTGCGCTTTGTTCGTGCTGAATGTTTTAAAATATTCTCTCATGTTAAAAGGAGCTGAAGGTCCCCGGTTAAATGTTTCCCACGGTGTTTCTTTTTTTTTTTAAGACGCCAGCTTTTTGTTCAAATGAACAAACAAAAAGAAGAAGATTTTCTGCACTTTTTTTTTACTAAACTCCTGGGTAAATTTGTAAAATATGTGTTTTCGCACCTATTCTGCCACCCAAACGCACCTATGTGCCCCCTCGGGGAGGATCCGTTGTAATTGGTGTGAATGTGTTTAAATTCAGTTTGCAGCTGAGTGGCAGCTTTATCCTCCCTGTTGTTACAGCTAATGGGTGCATAACAACAGGCTCAGGCCTCGATCCCTGGGGCTTTAGCAAAGTGGGCGGAGGTGGGGTCACCTGCTCGGACTTAGGGCAAGTCAGACCCCCACGTCAGCCGTGATATTATCTCCACACCTTGCTGATCTGGGCTAATTGGTGGAGGGGTTTTGGTGGGTGAAATTTAACCGTTCAAACTCAAATACTTAATTTTCTGCAGAGGCATCACTTAAGGTTTAAGCTGAAGCAGTTTCTTTAAACAGAACCAGTTTTAGACACGGTTTTCTCTTTTTATGAACTTAATGTGTTCTGTTCATTTATTTTGTTTTGTATTGTCTGAACTTTATAGGTTTTTGGTTTTTAATACGGTTTTTGTTTGACTTTTAAACTGTCTTAGATGCAACTAAAGACAACAACTACAAATGATATTAACCTATGAATTACAGTAACCAAATAACAATAGTTCCTCTTTTTATCTTAAGTTTAAATTCACTTAAAAATAACAAGCTTGTGATGTCCTATGCGTTTTCTTATTTATTTATTTTTTTTACTGTAAAACTCTTATACTTGAACTCTTACCTCAGAGGTTCTCAAACTCGGGTCTCGTTACCGCAGGGGTCCGCTAGCCGTATTTTGTGGGTCCTCAAAACATTTCAAGAAATTGTTAATTTGGTTTTTATTTRAWAAATTGCACATGGGGAACGATTTACTACTAAAACAAACATACAAAYGCAAACAAAAGATAATATTCCCATGGCATTTAGGGGTTAAAATGTCTTTAAATTTTTTTAACAGTCTGTGCATTTATGAAGAGGTCCCTCCCTGGAAATGTTTCATCCTTGTYAGAATTCCCAAGACCCAAAATCTTTGAGAACACCTGTTTTACCTTTTAAATTATACATAAAACAAGGACTATTAACAATGATGCAAATTTATATGCAACTATTTACAATTATCMTCCTCTCCCTAAAATAATCACCTYAGCCTTTTYTCCCACAAGTTTTTCAGGAAAKATAAAAACATAATTAATAATGTACCATAATACAGTTTCAATACACTTGAATAAAATGGCGTAGGCAGTTATTTTAGGAAAGTGTCACTATTTAACARAACTCACAATTTTTACACTGTTTCAAACATAAGAAAACAAGTTTTTATTGCGTAAAACCTGTTTGTCTCAGACAGCAAGAAAACCAAGATGTTTCTGGATACCAGCAGGATGCTGAACATCTCAGCAGAAATAAGGACTTTAACCTTGTTTCCAGTGTGTGTGTGTGTGTGTGTGTTCGTGTGTGCACCTGAGTTTGTGTGTCGCTGCCAGCACTGTGAGATTACAGCAGCACTTATTCATGGCACTGCCCTAATCTCATCTCAGGTGGCTGCCTTTCCCAAACACAGCTTCATTTACCCACACAGTCGGCTGCGATTTGATTCAACAAACCAGCGAGATCAGCTGTATTTGACCAGCTCAGACACAAACACAGCCAAGCTCTATTGGGGGGGGGGGGGGGGGGGGGGTTCAGCATAATGTCCTGACAGCATCAACACAGGTTGAATGAATTCTCATCATATTTAAAGTATTTGTCCTGAAACAAGACAAGTGAAATCAGCGTGTCTGTTTGGGCTGCGAAAGCTCGTGTCTAAATTATTTCCTGGCATTTTCTAATAACAATCAATCACCCAGCTGCTCTTTTATACTGCTCCGAATCTGAAAGACGTATTGTGTGTGTCAGGAAACACACTAACTTTAAAAAAAAATTGCACAAAAGTGTCAAAAATGTGTTGAACTCAGGCCCAGATTCAGGACGAGCTGGAGATGTGTAAAGGTTGTGAGGGCCCAAACTGATTAAGTCATTGATAGTAGATTGCAAATACAGCATGTGAAGCAGCTGCAGGAGAGGGTGTGTCTGTTGTTTAAAGCAGGGCTGGTTGCTCATAATCCCAGGCAAATGCTGTTCCTCTCAGGCCCGGTCGCTTTTATGGTCTCTGTCTGTCGCACCAGTGTACAGTTGTGTTCCCACTATATATAGATTCACAGATCCAGCTCGCTGCTCAGTACTTGCTTCATTTTAATTCCATTCCTGCTTTTGTCACGTTCAGGTGTAACTCGTTTATTCAGTGAATTGACAAACCGAATAAATACCATGTGTTTTCTATTTAGGTATAGTTGTTTGCGGGATGTCAGCCGGTGTGTCAAAATTCACACAGAATATTTACATGTGAGCTTAGAAGTGTTTTTTTTTTATATTGCAAAGCTGAAAATTCAGCCGTGTTGTGAGGTGTAACAGCTGTGTGCCATTTTAAAATTYCTTGTGTTTTAATTTTACATATACAGTACAGGAAATAATATTTCATTTAAAAACTTTTAGAATCCATTCACAAACTTTTTAGTGTCAAAAATGCACTTACATCGCATAAAAATGTATCTAAATGGTTTTATGTCCCAATAATCCAAATAGATATGTTCAAAGTATTAAAAGTAAATGCATTTTTATAAATATTGCTATTTAAACATATTTGCAATGAATACAAAAACTTATATTTTTATATTTAACCATTGTTGATTTTTGCTATAAGATAGAAAATTGTACATGAATTTATACGAAATATCAGCTTGCAACTAATATTGATTATTTTTAAGGTGATTATCAGATATTAAGATTAAATGTCTGTTATCTACC